AAGAATTTCGGTTTCAATGCCAAACTGGCACCAAGAGAGGCAGGAGGCATTGGGCAAGACGTGAATTTGCCTTTTTATTTAGATTGATGGGAGTTTATATTTTTTTAATATATTTTTAAATAAAATTATTTTAAAAAATAATTATAATTATATTTTTAAATATGCTGAAAATCCTGAAAGGATTGAAATTTTTTATCAGATTACTCGAAAGATGCTCACGAAGTATAGATACACTTCCATCAGAAGCCGAAATTATTTTACAGGCATTCGATGCTCGTGTTGCCTTTCCTTTTAAGAATGTGGTTGGTTTAAAAGTGTGATGGTTTTTTTTATTAAAGATATAATATTTTTTAAATATAAATTATATTTTTGAAAATTATAAAAACATATTTTTCTTAAAAAAATAAAAAATACTTCTTATTCAAACACCCCTAACATATACTTGGTTTTGTAACATTACTTTGCCGTGATTTGGATAAAAAACATATAATTATATTAAAAAAATATAAATGGTATTATTATTTTTATTGTATGCAATAAAATATTTAAGATAATAATTAACAACTCGACTAATATAATAGAATAAATTAATTGATCATCATAACTGTCAATTAAAAAAAAAGAAGAATTGATCTTACTTGTGTGACCAAGCGAGCTAATAGAAAACCGGCTACCTCACTCAACTCAAATAGTGATCTAGTATTTTTTTAAAAACAATATTTATCATTTTAGTTTTATTTAATCCTAACTTAACTGTGAAAACAAAAAACTGTTAAAGGACTAGATTGAAGACAAAAAAATTAAAGGAGTAAAATGAAAATAATAATAATAAATTTTAATGATTTGAGTTCAGACGTGAAATTTATAACTTAGCTAACAAACACAACCATAATAATTAAACCGAATGAATAATTTGTTTTTTTTTTCTTTTTTTATTCTCTTCTTAAATAGATCTTTATTGGGTATTAATTGACAATAAATTAAATTAAATTTAAAAGTAAATAAAAAAGATATAAAAGAGTTGAAGCTAAAAACTTAAAAATATATCATATTATATTGCTCATAATCAACTTTAATCAACAAATAAAATTTAGAACTCAAATCAGAACATGATCCCAATTATGCAGGATTTTTTAAGCTAATGATAAAAAATGATTAAATTGCATTTTCTATTTGAATTTAAATAAAAAAATAAATGATAATAAAAGGGTTAAATTGTATTTTTTTAAATTAGGAGAAAAATACATTAAAAAATTTCCTAAATGTTGAGTCAGAATCTATGAAGTCAAAGATTTACACTAATAGCTCAATCAAATCTAATATTTTTTTAATAAATTTATATTGCATTTAAATAAAAACAAAAAAATAAAAAATAAAAAAAGCCCCGTAAAAGAGCTCAGAGCTCAAGTGCACATGCCTAATGATCTTGTGCATCTGCACCTAAGCCTATGAAAGAAAAAAGCTTAGGGTCATATGCCAAGGCCTCGTATTTTTACTTTTTTAAGGGGCGGATAACAATAAAAAACTTGTAGTTCATCTTTTTTATTAAAAAAATTAAACAATACATTATTTGTTGAATGACGTGTTACCTGTTGAAATAGATGACATGTCACCTGTCTTCTTAGTTGTAATTAAAAAATTTAGATAAATATGTTTTTTTCCTAAAATCCTTTTTTCAATATGTTTTAACAAAAAAAAACTCATAAAAACCCTTACAATACCTAGAAACCAATTAATCAATCTAAAAAACCTCTAAAAACAACCCAAAAACATGAAATCAAATAAGTCTATGTTTTTCTTCCACAACCTTACTCTACTTTATGAGATGATATTGAAGTATATTGTTTAACTTTTTTTATCAAATGAAACCCATGAATATCAATATTAATTAATTTGGTGGTTGAAATATAAAAAAACGATAATTTTCTTATTCTATATTAGAACATAACAAAAATTTATTCCTTGTCTCAAAGTTAACAACCTAAAAAATAACAAAAATGAAGTTGTATGCTAAAATTAAATATAGAAAAACATAAAGAATTGAAAAATATTAATTTTATAAATTGAAGGATTAAAGTGTATTTGTAACACCAACTTTAAAAACAACATTTATTTTCATCACCTTTTCTAAGTTGGTCTCATTTAGCCTTTCAATTTTATCCCTAACAAATAAATTAAAAGCAATTAGGTATTAATTTCACTACAAAAAAA